TTTGCAAACTGGGTTCACAGTTGACAGAAGACAACTAAATAAAACAAAAAATCCAACTTACCAGCCCAATACACTGTCCAACCCAGGGGCAGTGGTGATCAAATCGTTCTACACAGTTATTGCAGATTGAGCAGTGTGAGCATCGAGGAGGCCTGTAGAGCATGCAAGTATCACAATATTTGACTTTGACAATATTGCCATTGACCTGAACCTCCTTAAAGCGAGGCAACCGTAGTTGAGGAGTTTGACCAGCTCCAACATCCAAATTGCCATCAAGAACTTCTGGCTCTGGAGGATGTGCATTGCGTGGAATTATACCAGGGTCTCTGCCAGAAGTTAACAATAGAAGACCTAAGACCTGAAAAGATTAAATCAGCACAAGGCTCAAAAGAACATATTTTTATGTGCATGGCAGAGATCATGACCAATAAAATCCAAGAAATTGGAGAATTTGGGCCTCCTAAAGCTTTGATTACAAAATCACCCAAAAAAAAAAAAAAGACAGCAATTATAAAGTCAAAGGCAGTGAACAAAACTACTCCATTGTGGCAACTAGTGAGCCCAGAATCAAAAGAATTTGAAGATACTTGTAGACATAGGACCGCCTAGGGAATGTCATGGCCTTTTGTCCCCACACCCTTGACATCAACCCACATCCTACCCTGTCTTTGTCACCCCAGGTGGCAACGTCATGGCTCTCTCAAGAAACATGAAATTCCACCAATTTTTGGGTAGGGCAGTCCAGAGACGGAAATGAAATCAACAAGATGTATGATTGAAAGAGATCTCCTGAAGGGTACCTTGTTTCAAGCCAAAAACACAAAACAAAAAGCAATGCTTCTCATGGTATAAACAAATAACATTATCACCATGCGGTACATTGATTCAGAAGGAGATAATTGATGTAGAGAGACTCACATAAACTGTGAATATAACAGCAACAACCTCTATGGTTATCCCCCAGTGGTCAGAAAAATCGTCCATCAGTTTTCTGGCAACAAAGACACAGAAAACTGCCACGGGAGCAACAAGAAGGAAAATGGTCAGCACCAGTGATCTTACATCTGGTCCAAATACGAACCTCCCCTGAAGAAAAAATTTCTGCAAGAAAATGTTCTATGTAAGAACCATCACAACCACAAAACGTCCAATTACAGTAACATGTTTCAGATAAAGCGCAGCAAAGGTAATTATTATTTTTCTATTATCTATGAACATTGTGCTAGTCCATAAATAATAAGAAATATAGTCTAGCAAAGTTTTTCCTAACAAAGCAAACAAGTTCCCTTAACAATATCAATGTTGATATCATATAGATTCTGTGACAAAAGTAAGTCAGATTCAAGATGTCAAGAGGGGGGAAAGCAGCTGTTTTCTAGTTTACACATGTAACGCTGCAGCCCATAAATCACAAAGCCTGCCACAATCTCTTTCATTTATTCAGCTTTTCCAAATTTTGGCCTAGTTTTGACTTTTAAGTGCCTAAAAATTCAGAATTCATTTTGACTTGTCCAATATCAAGAACCAGGTGCAATAGCAGTGAGGTGACTTTATGATTTGTCAATTCTCATAGCTAGTTGTATATTAAATAAAAGCTAAATGGTACTACAACTGAAATCTGAAACGCCAACAAGCTAAATGTATCCAATTAAGTTTCTTGGTTGCTATAATGGTAATTTACTGACGTTGCTTCATAACTTAACGGAAAGAGTACCCTCAAAAACTTGAATAGTCATAAATCAGGCAATCCCTCAGCTCCTTGGCGAGAGAGATTTCCTTTTTGCTAAGCTCGCTTGCTTTCATTCTGCAGAGTTCGTAATCACCACAGACCCCGGAACCCCTCTTAGGGTAATAAAATTGATTCAACAGGAGAGCAAGAAAAAATAAGAACAATCAATGAAGGAGGATCGACCTAGGATATCATTGGACTTAAGAGAAGAAAGAGAGGACTTTGCTAAACGCAGAATGAGATTGATTTAATAAGTTAGACTTAAGAAGAAAAAGAGAGAAAGATTTGCCTAGGCCTGAGAGCAGAATGCAATGGACTACATAAGCTCGAACAATATCATGAATTCGACATACATGACAGAAAGTGTGAGACAAAAACCCAATAACAGAAAAAGAAAAAAGAACAAAAAACTAGAAGTAAAAACTCACATTACTCCCTTTCCATGTTTGGTAAACCCGCAAATCGCTGGATCCCGACCCAGGATCGGTCTGCTGGGGTGGAGGCACCACGTACATATCGTATTGGAAGAAGATAGTCCAGTCACAGTCAGTCCAGAATCCTCAAATAGCATATAAAATCCGCAGTGACCCCCAGAAACGAAACTCACGAAGCCAAAACGCAAGATATAGAAAGGCAGGAACTTGAAGGCTCTCTGAGGTTAAAAATCCATGGCCGACGACGAAAGCAGAGACCCTTATAGCTCAGAATACCGGCGAGGTGGAAGGGAGAGTGGTAAATCGGCGACAAGGCATGAGAGGTAGGGCCAAGGGGCAGCGAGTGCTCAGTTTTTTTTTTTTTTAAAAGTTGGGTGCCTTTCACTTCCGAAGCTGGGGATTCAATACATGCTTTTGGTGAGCAAGGGACTCTCCCAACTGTTACTGCTACTGTCACTGTATGTGTCTGCGCTTGACAGCATATAGAAAATGACATGGCCCGTTTTCATTGGAACTGACCATGATTGACCGGTTTCATGGCTCCGCTGGCTGTTTCTGCCACTCTCTTTCTTGCGTCCTAATAATTTACCCTAGCAGGACCTTTCTTCCGTTCAAGGTTTCTCTCACATTAATTACCTAATAACGCACCCAACATTAGTTGAATTTAATTAATACCAAACATTCATTTAATAATATAAAATATATTATTTATAATAGATAGATAATTCTCACTAATACAAATTATATACACTTCACCAAAAAAAATTATATACAGCAAGAGAATCCAATTAAATATAAATGCTCTTTATTTTTATTGTAGTGGGATATTAATCTGCTGGATTTTAAGGTGAGTTTCACTAACTTATCATGGTATATTTTTTTAATAAATTTATATTATGTATAGAATATATGACAATAAAAATTTGTCATAGAACTAGCCTGATCAAGCCTACTCATTCAGTTGGTGCTGCAAAATTTTGCAAATTTGGGGATGAAAAGATTGATTGAGAAATGAGGCATAGATTTGGATATGAGCTTTTGAGCTTTCCAAAGGAATTGAACGGCTAATAGTTGTTAAAACTTTGGCTTTGGCATCATATATAGGCGGATTTCTGGGAAAAAAAAAGATAATTAATTTTTTAAAAAAAACTCTTTTATGATGTATGAGATAAAATTTTTTTTACATATTTATTTCATATAGTGTAATACTACCTCCGATAAATATAAGATTACAATCTACTTTGTTTTCAATATTTATACATTTTTTTCAAGATAGTCCTTCTAACAATAATAGTTTTAGCTAATATACTTGATTAGTAAAGATATTTTAGAAAAAACAATACCTGTTTATTACAAATAACTAACTTAAGTTCTTTCTTTAATCTCCTTGAATTAATTAATTAGCTCTTATATTTAGGACTGGTTATAGTATTTAAAATAAATTAATCCAAACCACCATTAAAATATGGGAGATGAAAGAAAAAAGCGCGGAGAATTATCATGAAAGAAAAAGGGGGAGATTGGTTGTTGTGGACAGTTGCTTTATGGGCGGCTAATTGGTATTGCTAACCTAAACTCCAACTAATCCACTACTTGGCATTATTCCGCTTTTTCGTATTCTTCGCTCTCAAGTCAGAGACCGGAGAAAATGGACAGCGCGGTAATGCTTTTTGTGGTCAAAATTCAACTTATTTAAAAATTAATACGAGGACAGTTGAAACGATGATGGATAATTTGGCACTGCTAAGCCGCCAGCTTTACTCGGTATTGAGTGCACAGGCGCCTTTGCGCTTGCGCCAGCGTCAGGGTAATTTCAGAAAAAATTATAATAAAATCCAGAATTAAATAATTTTTTTAAAAAAGTTGTTAAATTATTCTAAAGTTTCCAAAAGCTTGCAAGAGATTTTATTTATTTAATTATCAAATTATCTTTTTTTATTATGCATTGAAAGAGTAATCATTAACAACTTAATGTGAAATAATTAACAATTATCATTACAAGTATTAACAACATATTTTTCAACACATCACAAAAATAAAACTCATAAGTTATCAATATGTCACAATAATTATTAATTGTTATACCTTAGATTGTAAACACCTGTACTTTCAGTTATCAATACATACTTTAAAAAATAAAAAACAAAAACAAGCTGATAATTAGACAAATAGAATTTCTTATAATGAAATACTTCCTCCATTTCTTATTATAAGAGACGAATAACCGAATTACGTTGATAAAAAAAAAAGTTAAAATTAGTTAAGAACAATCAATGTGTAAAAAGTATAATTTTTTTTTCCAAAAATGCCCTCATTAATAAGAGAAAGAGCATGAGAGAGAATAATGGTAAATTATTAAAAGAAAGAGAAATGGGAAGGAGAGAGTGTGTGAGCTGGAGACAATAAATATAGATAAAATAGAAAATCAATACAAAAAAGTAGAGACAACTTTTAAGTGTCTCTTATATATAAGAACATACCATAAGTATCAAATGTCTTTTATAATAAAGAACGGAGGGAGTATTTTAATACTTCAGATTAATTTAATAATTTTAAAAGTTTTTTTTGTACTTAATTTTTGGACGAGACCTTATTGTAATTTTTCCATAATTCCATGCATGCGTCAGCAAACTGACAAGACCAGGAATATACTATCAGTCCCCCACGCCACGACTCATACGTTAATCTCCTTTGCCAAGGTTACGACCTAACGACTCTGTTTCTGCCTATGAAGTATATCAGTTTATAAACACAGTACACGAGCTCCTTTTGAATTTTCACAGGCGACGACCAAAACCAAAAAAAGAAATCATTTCAGAGTTGCCATACGGACACAGTCCTAAGGCGCTTGCCAAAAATTGCACGGAGCTTTGATTAGGGGGGTCACTTGTACGCTGAAAGGAAAGGATGAGTAACTAATTCTGTTATGCTACTAGTATGGTAATCCTAAAGCATATGATTACAATGAAATGTTACTCCCACACACTACAACTTGAATTTAACGGTTCTCACAACATTTTTCCTCGAATTACAGTAATTTTGAAGAGAGACGTCATTAACAGTACCAAGACCAGACAGTTTAACGCCATAAGAAGCCAGGCGATTGATATCCCGCGGAATGGGAGACTGCCAAAGGCCATCCCACCAACCTGGAGGAAGAAGTGGAGTGAAGGCGCATTGGTTGGCCTGGCTACGACAACTCAAAGGACCAGCAAATCTGTTCCACACGTGACCCCAGCCGATCTGATTCTTCAGACCCGCCGTTAACAAATTGCTCTGGAAACTGCTAAAAAATGCAAAATTTGACGTAGTCGTATTATCCCCTGAAAGAAACAATTATCAGATGCTTCATCCTTCAGCAGAATGTGACATACAGGCTTATGTATGCATGCATGTCTATGTATATGTAAGGAAATGAGAGGGGAAGTACCCAGGTTGCGCGTTGCAGCCAGTGCAGCAACTAATTGAGCATAGGTAGTCCCAACACGCCGGTGAGCTCCAGAAACAACAGCATATTTTGCACGAGATGCAAGGAAAAAGTCCACAAAAGCAACCCATCGAGGTGCTGAACCCCAGTCCTTCACTCTAAAATCTGATTTCAGAAATTCTTTATGTATATTCCCCCGGAAATGTTCATAGTTGAAATGAAGAACCTGGGTAGCAGAGATTAATAAGCGTCAAAAGCACCTATCTTCGTCGTGTTTTGTGTTTGGAAAAGGCCAGAGTGCCTTTTTTGACCCTGAAGTTTTGGATGAGTTCTAATATCGCCCTAAATGTTTTATTTGATTACTGTTGTTTGGAAAAGGCTATAGTGCACTTCATCCAAAAACAAAAATAAATTAAGTAAATAAAACATTGAGGCCAAACCAAAATTCGAACTTAAATGAGGAAAGTGTACTTTGCCCGATGGGTCAACGGTAGACATTAGACAGTGAAAAAGTAAATAATCAGAAGATGGGGAATCTATGAAGGACTTAGACAATGTTGGGAGATGGGGTTCAGTAGAGTAGAGGTAAAAAAATGACGCGAAAGTAGTGGTGGATGGAATCCTTTAAGTTTCATGAAATGAGGTGCAACCTGTGCTGATATCAGAGATACGAGAACTACTGAAAAGCGAATGGATGGTGAAAATCAGGCATGTCTTCAGAGAAGCCAATGGAGTGGCAGATCGACTAGCAGAAGTGGGATTGAACCAGGAACAACGAAAAATCACATGGACAAACCCCCCAATAGAAGCCTGGGAGACCCTACACCAGGATAGTATTGAACGGGGAAGCATCCGTAGAGTCAGTCTAAATTAGTTTGTTTGTGTCTTCTTGTACTTCACCCAAAAAAAAAAGAAGCAAATAATCAAGCAAATCATTATTCAACATATGAAATTAGCCCCAAGGAAAACAACATATTTTCTGTTTTAAGCATCACTGACTAGTGGCAGGAGAAAGAATATTTCATCCATACATTCCATGCTCCAGAGACACGTACACACTAACATACTAAGCACACAATAAGAATCAAGAGATCACCTCTGCAAATTCACTTATGTTGCGAATCATACTTTTAACAACAGAAGGCGTATCAGACACCAAAACCACCTTTGGCCTTAACCTTAGATTTTGATTTCGAATGGCCTTTTTAATGCACCGTAATGCTGCTTGTACAGCTCTCACAGACCTGAATCAGAGGGTGCAAGAATCACGATCAATTAATTAAAGCCACAACTAAGAAAAGGTTGCGATACTTCATGAATCTTGTGTTAACTATGCATCATGCACATTAATGAAGAATCAAATATATTCCTCCACAGCATTCAGGGGGGTACAAATGTGATGTATAAATTGTAATTAACATAAGGTTAGATAGGTACATGTGTAAGCCAGTTAGACGGTAGTTATAATGAAATAGCCGTTAGAGGCTAGTGGTTAGAAGCCTTTATAAGGAGGTGCGATTGTAATTAGGGGCTTTTGTTTTGAGTAATATCCAATGCAACATTAGCTACCTCTCTCGTTCTTTCTGTCTCTCTCTCTTCTCCCTCTCTCTCTTCACTAGTATTCATCGTAATAGATCCCATTCAATAAAATTAATTAATGTGTACCTTGCATTACCTGTTCATAAACATTCGCATATGTATTGAAATGTCAGGATCCTCCCTGCCATCAATAACCCAATTAACAGCTGCTTCAACATCTTTGGAAGGTGATATGAGAACTCTCATTAGCTCCCCAAATACATTAGGACGTGATCCTAGAACTAGTGGATCACCAAATAAATCAGAAGCAGCAGTTCTCATCTCATGGTGAATATTTTTCAAGAAAAATTGTGCTGCCACAGCATCTGTAGTTCCTTGCAACCTACAACATAACGCTATTAGTTATTTGACAAAGCTTGAGAAATAGATACGCAGAGATAGCATTCTCACTATACCATATAATAGGTTGCTTCCATTTCTTCCAATTGCCACAAAGAACATTAGTTTGAGCCGGCTTTTCAAAATCATCTGTTCTCATAATAAGATGCCTCCCATATTTGCTTTCACAACTATTTTGTCTCCACAGGTGCTTGATTTCTTTCATCGTAAAGGTAAAGTTGGGATAAGAAATATAATCCCCGAAAGGATATTTACCTCTGAAACATAGAAGAGAGCTAATATAAGATAATGGGAAGACAAGTGCACTTGATTATAACATACTCTTTTGCATGGTTAAAGTCGTTTGACAAATCCATCAATGACAGAGAAAAATAGGATTTGACATTTCAGCGGCCATAAAAATTGCAATATGTCAAAACTTCATTAACCTAGGCTGTTATTGTATCTGCATGATGTTTTAGGTACGAGAAACATTTAAAAAAGTTAATGCAGACAGAAGAACCATAGCAATTGAACACTCAAAATGGAACTATCAACCAGCTCTCAGCAAGAAACCAAAACGTGCGAGTATGTAAATGTCCAAATTGCATAAAACTAAGTTTTTATTTGTAACTGCACAATATTTCTGGACAAGATATTCATAAAAGCTAAAATAGATATAAGATCATTAGTAACTGAAAGCTCTAAAAGAAAATGTTCATCAGAAAACAGGTTGTCAGCAAGAAAGCAACGTTGAGTTCTTGAATTGAAAAAGAAAGGCTTGAGGGGGAACCAATATGCCTGGTTTGGCCAATGATAAGGGACCGGTTTAACATCACACTCAGTGCCGCGGCAGTTAAGACCTTGTACATTTCATTCCCAAAACCTGCCTCTGAGGTCTTACCCAGAACAAACCCATGACTACAAAATTGCTCTGGGGGTAGATCCCTGATTCTTGACGCCCCTGAAACAAAATAAATCAACGTCATCTTCTGATTTCACAACAACTCTCCAAAATAACAATATTGCTACTTTTCAGATGTTTATGCCTCCAATGCCACCGGAAGGTACATGGACAAAATAAGCTTAATTGCACTTTCATTCCCTCTACCTCACTCAAGAGAACAATTTTCTCTATCTTGCTTCAATTAGAGCTAATTTTCCCCTTTTCTATATTTATTAGTCCTTCAGATGTTTATGCCTCCAATGCCACAGGAAGGCACATGGACAAAATAAGCTTAATTGCACTTTCATTCCCTCTACCTCACTCAAGAGAGCAATTTTCTCTATCTTGCTTCAGTTAGAGCTAATTTGCCTCTTTTCTATATTTATTAGTCCTTCTAGCGTTAAGGTTATATTATATTTCCATTTATTGTAATAAGGCAAGTTAAATAATTAGGGGAGAAAGATTGTATCAGTAGAAATAAGCTATAAAATTGAAATAATAAATAAATCTGAGGAATAACATTGCTCGAATTGACGCTAAAGAGGCTGAATTGGTCACTCAAGTAAGTTGGATGGATTGAAAGTGTTGAGTAAATTAGATGGACAGAAGCATAAGTAGGTCAATACACTCGAAACAGAAATAGTGATTTCTGTATATGACTGGGAAGACTCCCAGGTCACTACTATAGTCCTAGTTATGACACATAAACCCGCAACGACAACAACCTTCTTGATAAAGAATCTTGCAAACGGAATATGCTAATGTCAGTAAATGGTTAAGTTCCCAATATATCTATCAAAGCGTGCTAACGCACTAACTCCAGATATTCGAAATTGACAAAGCTTTGCGCAGTTTGTTAAATTGTTCTCGCTACTCGCTCTCCAAATGCCACTGCTCCTAACACAACTATGCTTCATAAGAGAAATGAGCTACCTAAAGATGTAAACATCACATGCATCCTGCTAATCGTCCTGGATATCTAAGGGCCTAGTAAGAGCCACCAAATTTACAAACAAAGCAGAAATAACCGGAAGTAGTCAAAGTACCATTCACAATAAAATGATTTTCGATAATTCTTCTCACTCTCAGATTTTCTTTCCAATCAACGCTTCTGAAATCGTGCCCCATCTCTTCCACCGTGGCGCATGATTTCTCTACCCTGTTCCCTAAGCGCTCAGAGGCCACCACAATGCCGCCATCAATACTTGAGACTTTTGAGTCTCCAAGCCCAACTTGTACGGGGAAATCGACCACAATAGGAGGATCCAACGGTCTAAGCGCAAGCGTCAGCAGGCCAAAACCAGCAACCAATGCGCATAAAAAAAGAAATGGTTGCAGTAACATTTGCCCCCGTCTAACTCCACCATATCTCACTTTCTCTCTGTCTCTCATCCTTCCTAACTTCATTTTCGTCTACTATTGAACGCTTGGAAGTCAGCTTCTACAATTGAACTGGATCTCAACTAACAACACTGACGCCGGCTGAGGCGTATCCCTTTCGGTTATCTTCCTGCGGTTGCGTGAGCCTGTGAGCATATATTCTCCGCGCTATCTTTTTTTTTTTTTTGGGTCGGCTCCGCGCTGTCTTTGTTTGCTCGGCAACAAAAGGTGAAACAGACCTGGCATGTTTTGTAATTTATCCGCGCTATCTTTGTTATATATTTTCCAGTCTTGTATGGAGGCCTGGCTTAATCTAAAACCTGTTAAAAAAACTGTTTTTAAAAAATTTAAATTACAGTTATATATCTTTTAAAAAAGTGAACATAATAATTAATTTTTTAGTTTTGTCTTTTATTTAAATTTTAGTATTACAAATACTATTTTAAATCTTAATTACAATTTACAAGAATATTATTAAAAATTAGTTATAATTGTATGTTAAAATTTAAAACAAGACTATATTTAAGTACACACAAAAATTAAAATTAAGACAAATAAATAAAAAAAACTATTAATTTTACAACGAATAAAAAAGTATCATAATTTAATTAACATAACACATAAGTTAATTAATTTATCATTCTTAGAACAAATTTTTTTTCCTATTTTATTTATATTTTTTAAGATTTAAAGACCACATTATTTATTGATTTTATTATTTTAAATTATATTTTTTTCTTCACATGTCGACTAAATTTCAAAATCTAAAGAATGATTAAACTATTAACTATATATTAAAATTAAAAAATAAATTAAAAGAACACATTAATAATAATATTATTAACTAATTTTTTTATATATTATAATTATAAATTTTTAAGAACCTCAGACTAGCCTAACAGGCTTAATCGGCCATGTAGAGAGCCTATGTTAGATCTGTTTAGTTAAACAAGCTTTTAAACAGGCTTGAATTTATCTCTTTTAAAAAACAAGTCAGGCCAAATGTAGGTCGTTCTTAATGGACTCTCTGTTCTGTTTTCACCCTTATCATCTTGCCCGAACTGAACCTTACTGTTTTTACCCGGACCTAAACTGATTTTTGTGGGTGGCGCGCATTGCACACTGAACACCGATATAAAAGGGCTAAAATATGTTAGCGGGGAACCAGAAAACGACGTTAACTTGAGAAAAATAGGGTCAACGGTCAACCCTCGCCTTAACAGAATTTGCATCTTTGTATCTATCTCTCGCGGGAGCTCAAACACAAGATTCTGTCCGTTCGTTTCCCTTGCCCTTCTCGTACAGAAGTGCCCCCTAACAAGGGGAAAAACCAACAACGACCATTTCCATCCCATCCCCTGAAAATACAATCATACCAAGAAAACTAAAAAGGGAAAAAACAAAAAAAACAAAAAGAAAAAGAAAAACTGTTAATTCCTCTCTGTTTCCGAAGATCTCATTTTGGAGCGATTCTCCTATACCTTCACAGCCATTATGGAGAAGAACCTTGCTGAATCAGGCAGTTTCGCTCGCATAGACGAGAAGAAGAAGGAAGGCGAGACACCACGTGCGCCTTTACCAGATTCCGGAGAGACCGATGCCAAAGAGGTTGAAGCAAAAACGGATGATGAGGCAAAGCCACCTGCTGCAGATGCAGAGATCAGCGAGCCCGTTGAGAAGGAGGAGGAAGATGCTCCCATTGAGGTTGCAGAATCCCCACCTCCCAGCCTCGAGAAGGTTTCAGAAGATATCGATCAATATCTTGAGACACTCACCAAGAATGCAGACGTTGAAGAAGCTTCTTTAGAGATCCCTGATTTCATTGACAAGTTCTTGGAGCTTGTTGAAGAGAAAATCGCCGTGTACGACTCGGGTGGAGTTAAAGGCAAATGGGGTGAGGTTGCAGAGGAATATTCGTCACTATTTGGAGCTCTGCATCAGGTTTCCAAATTAATGAAACTGCTGAGCCAGTCTCAATCCTCCTCGGAAGAGATCAGTAAAAGAAAGGATGCGTTGGTCAATCACATCGGTACGCTTCAGCACCGAGCGATGTCGTATTTCGAGGAAGAGTTCCGATTTCTTATGGAAGAATCTCGAAATCCGGGTGAATCCAACCCCTGTGGTCATGACCCGAAAGGGAAGCAAGTGGAACAAGACCAGTCCTCTGATCCGGAATCCATCGAGTTGGAGCCCGAGTTTCCGAGTTACCCCGATGAGACCATTGCGAAATTGAAACAGATAGCGAAAGTGATGAAATCAGGTGGTTACCAATACGAAAGCGGCCAGATTTATTTGGTTTGCAGGAGGTGCACATTTGAAGAGAACTTGAACAAAATAGGATTCGAGAAAATGAGCATCGATGAGATTCTGAAAGTACAATGGAAAATATTGGAGAGAGATATTCCAGCTTGGATCAAAACCTTCAAGGATTCCGCCACCGTCTATTTGTCCGGCGAACGGAAGCTGGCAGAGTCGGTGTTCGAAGAAGATCCGTCGCTAGCAGTGAGCCTATACAGCGATCTCTCTCGGTGCATTGTCCTACAGCTTCTCAACTTCGCGGAAGGGGTGGCCATGACGAAGCGAGCGGCAGAGAAGCTATTCAAAAACATTGACATGTACGAGACCTTGCGTGATGCAGTCCCCATTTTCGAGGAACTGTTACCGGAAGCGGTTGCGAACGAGCTCAAGACGGAGGCGACCTTAACGAAATGCAGACTTGGCGAGAACGTGATCAGCACATTCGGTGATCTAGAAATTGCCATCAAGACAGATGCCGAGAAAACTTTGGTTCCTGGCGGTGCGGTCCATCCATTGACTCGCTACTTCATGAACTACCTTCCATTCGCATGCGAGTACAAGGACACGTTAGAGCAAGTGTTCAAGGAGCACTCGAAGATTGAACGCGCCGACTCGACAAGTAGGCCCCGCTACGAAGGGGAAGGGAATTCTCAACAGAATGTTAACGCCAACAATTCCGGCACGGAGAATGAATCGCCGTTTGCGGCGCAGGTGACTAGGTTGATGTCTCATCTGGACACAAATCTGGAAGGGAAGGCGAAGCTGTACAGGGACGTGGCCTTGAGCTGCATCTTCATGATGAACAATGGTAGGTACATACTCCAAAAGATCAAAGGGTCAAAAGAGATGTACAGCTTGATGGGAGAGACATGGTGTCGGAAGAGGTCGTCGTATCTGAGGACGTACCATAAGAATTATCAGAGAGAGACATGGAGTAAGATTCTAAATTGCCTGAGCCCCGAGGGCTTGAGCGTGCACGGGAAGGTGCAGAAGCCAGTGCTCAAAGAGAGGTTCAAGAGCTTCAACGCAATATTCGATGAGATACACAAAACGCAGAGCACGTGGATTGTGAACGACGAGCAGCTTCAATCGGAGCTGAGGGTGTCCATAACAGCGGTGGTGATTCCGGCGTACAGAGCATTCTTGGGGAGGTTTTCTCAGATTTTGGACCCAGGAAGACAAACAGAGAAGTACATAAAATATCAGGCTGATGATATAGAAACCTTAATCGACGAGCTTTTTGATGGAAATAATGCAGCTAGAAGAAGACCATGATCAGACCAAAATTTAAACCCAAAAAAAAAAAAAATTAAAAGCGAAGAAGGGTTCAATCTGCACGGAGGCCGTAGAAAGGGCCATGCACGTGCATTAGAGTTCGTGTGCTGTGCTCGGTCGTGTCTCGAGCTAGAGCGACACTATGTATCCACTTCCTTTCTTCTCTGATCTTTTCTTTTCTTTTCTTTTTTCGTCCCTCCTAAAAGGTGTTTCGATTGAGTTAATTAATTTTCATTCTTTGTTATTATATATGTTTAATGTCAATTTGGTACAGAATTTTTTCTGATAACTATGACGTAACTAATTAGTTTCAGTACATCATCACCTGATTGATATGCCTATATCTGTATATTCGGTATCAATCTAAAATAATCATCACACGCCCTGATCATATGTGTATATACTGCCTCTCTGGTCCTTAATATAAGAGTCAGTTTAGTATTTAATTTGATATTAAATGTGAGATTTTAATCCATTATATTTCTTATATTTATTTATTTTTTTTAAAATAGTTTTTGTAGTAGTTTCATATATTAAAAGTTTGTGATTATCATTGATATATATGATTAGTAAGAGTATTTTAGAAAATACGATATCTACTTGTTGCAGATAACTAACTTAATTAATTCTTTTAATTATTTAATTAGTTAGCTAATTTATGTATTAAGAATTTCTTTTTTTTCTTGTTGATCAGAATGTACAAATGATGTTCATAAAGAATCTCGTCTAATGCTCGGGGGAAAAAGGTTTTAACAAACTGCCTCGCGTCCGTGCGTTCAGATTGGGGGAGCAAATTAATGACGACATCTGAAATGGATTTTTTGGTCAACATCTGAAATGGATTAATGCACAGCGTTTTTACTAGACAGGTCATAGGAGTCACGGGACTCGCATCAAAACCATTATTCTTCTTTTCTGTGAAAAACGACCGCTATGTGGAGACAATTTTAAATGCGGAGAGCCAGAAACCTTAAAATTTACGATTGAGTAGCGTCGTGATAAGGATGTTGACCAGCAAACTTGGGATGAAAGCTGAAAATTTCAGTTATATGCAACTCCTATTATTAATTCTTAACATAAAGTATTTAATTTGGCTCTAAATACAAGAATCTGGTCTAATTTATGTTTTATATTCATCAATGTTTTTAATATAGTTCTTGTAGTAGTTATATATGTTAAAAATTAGATGGTAGTTCTAGCTAATACACATAATTAGTACTCCTTCCGTTCCTTATTATAAGAGACAAATAACCGAAATACGTTGATAAAAAAAACAGTTAAAATTAGTTAAGAACAATTAATGTGTAAAAAGTATAATTTTTTTTCCAAAAATACCCTCATTAATAAGGAGAGAGAGCATAAGAGAGAATAATTAAATTATTAAAAGAAAGAGAAGTGAGAGGAAGAAAGAATGTGAGTTGGAGATAATAAATATGGGTAAAATAGTAAATCAACACAAAAAATGAGAGACAACTTGTAAGTGTCTCTTATATATAGGAACATGCTATAAGCATCAAATGTCTCTTATAATAAGGAACGGAGGGAGTAATAAAGATATTTTTAAAAAGACATATAATAAATATTTACTATACATAACTAACTTAACTAATTTTTATTAATTTATTTAAATTCATCAACTAATTCTAATATTAAAAATAAGGGGTAGCAAGAAGACAAACTATTGAAATTATTTCATGTCCCAGGCTTGGCCCTGACCACCAGATTTAGAAACGTGGAAGTTAGATATTATCAATAGGTGACTTTCCAATTTTTGGTCCATTAGCTCAAAATTAAAGGACCTCACTTTTTATATTTAAAATGATTGATATGCCCCTTGGTCTGTAACTGCGGTCTTTTCAATCGTTTTTTTGGAAAATAAAGTTTAATTCCTTAAAATACAATCATAAATCTTTCAAAATAACAATCCCGCTGACCGGGAAAAAAAAAAATTCCATCCGGACAACAATTACGTATTTGTTTTTAAGGCATTAATTTCAATGTAGTAAAATCTAAGAAAATTGAGCCTTCGGATGTAAACTAATCTGGCATTTTTAATGTGCGAGTTCTATAAACTTTGCATGAGATTTGAATTGCTAGCTGTTTGCGAGAAAAGATGCCATGCACTCTTTATATATTTAACTAATTACTCCTCTAATCTTATTTATAAGACAGAAATTTTTTTAATTTTATTTATAAATTATCTCATTTGATTTTTAAATAAATATATTATTTTGTTATTTATTTATTATAGTGTAGAATTATAGGAAGTTTTTTTAAGGTTTATGTATTAAATAAGAGCAAAATTAAGATGTTACTGTATTTTAAGAAAGAGCTAATGCATTTTAAAATATAATTAATTTCTAGTTACAGATATTTGAATTATTTAGCCGTGTTTGGTATGAGTTGGACTAAACAGTTCGGACTTTGATTTGATTTAATTTAATTTAATTTAATACTCTTGTATTGCCATAGATGGATAAAGATAATCGCTGGTAACCAAAAAAAAAAAAAGAAGGAAGATAGGTAAAGATAATAGAATTAGAAACACGGAATTGGGGCGGGGCCGTGAACCTCGGGGGTAAACTGGGGAACCAGGGCAAGAGGACTACCCTCCTGCACTGTAATCCTGAGACATGGGCAGAGAAGGCTAACTAAACCAGAAACAACCCGTTGTTGTTGAGCTTAGAACTGCAAGACTTTCCTTACCAGTTAACACAAAGGGGCATACCTCAGAATTCAAATGTTTGGAGGGCAGTTTTCGATACGCGCTTCCTATAACGAAGCCTTCACCTTCAAAATTGAGTTTCTCCCTCTTTTTCACATCCTCCATGACCCTAATTACTGACCCCTGCCAAATCACAGGCCGTTAATTTTTCGTATATCTTCACCCGCATTCGTGGTTACAGCTATGTACGTACCTCTCTGTTTCTCTGATTTTCTTTATTCTTATTCTTTTTTTTTTCTTTTTTGCCCCTAAATATTTTCTGCAATTGTTTTTCTCTCCTCCGATGTTCCCTTATCCTGTTTCTTCACTTATCTGCATTTGTTACCTCTATTTGAGGGATTCTTATTCTGAAGGCTTGTTTTCCCGCTTTAGAAAAAATAATTCTCCTGGAAAATTATCATTTTTATATGTTTTCTGTTTTGACTGTGCTTGCTTTTGGGCGATTCTTCCCTTCGCACCCCAGTGTAGTTTTTTTTTTTTTTTGGTGAGGTAAATTTGTTGAATAGAATTTTACATAATTGTGGAGAAGTTTAGTGGCGGTCTATGTTGATTGTGAAGGCATTTATCTGCTCACATCTAATTTAGTTAGTCATTTTAGTGGGGTTTACATTCATATACTTCGAGGTGACCAACCTACAGGATGCACTATCATAGATTGCTGTATGATGCAGTCTTCAATGCGATGATTGAGAAATCACCTCTTTCAAAGGAAGTTTAGTTATGTGGTCTAGATTGGGCTGATCCTCATCATGCCTTATGCATATGAGAATCTACTGTGATTCTCCTTTGCTCTATTATTTATCTTCCCTCCGAGGGCTTAAGTATCTTCATTTTCTCTTACTAGAATGTTCTTAGGTTGTGGTTTACTCCAAGGTCTTGAGTAAACCACAACCTAAGTGAGCATGTATCTATGTGCATATGCATAAGTGCTTGCGTTGTGTATCGGCATCTTCTATGTGCTTCTCTCTCGGAAAATTCTAGGTATATGGTTGCAGAAAATTCAGTCATTGCTGCCCTCCCATCTTAAGATCTTTATAAAATTAATTTTTTCTGCTTGTTCATCTGTGCCAGCTCCAATCAGAAAGATGGGTAGCACATTCAATCCACATATTTTAGTGGAAAAGCTGACGAAGCTAAATAACTCACAGACGAGCATAGAGAGTATCCTTTGAGAATTATGTGTGGATTATGATTCCTTTTACCTTTTATTTTCAATTTAAATCACTTAAGTGGTTTTTTTTTCTGTTTCCAACAATTGACAAGGTGAGTGGGTTACCCTCCCCACAACCCCCCACCCCCACACACACCCACACAACACACACACACTGTTGTTGCAATGTGGCTTTTGTGGTTTACTTTGGTTGGAACATTAGCATTCTAATTGTGCCAGTTATGAAATCAATTCTCAAAGCTCCCTCCTTTCCTTTCCTTGCTTAACTGTGAATTTGTGATGCTTTATATATATGACTGTTATGAGAACTACTTTTTATCAACTTCCATATTCAATGGCGAATGGTGGCTTCATGACTGTTATTTCCCTCTTAACCATATCATTGAATAGCAAAGTTTTGGTACACTCTGTCTTTGTGTGTCTGTGTGTGTGCGCGCATGTGCGCGGGCGTGTGCGGGTGCTTGGCGCGTGTGCGTGCATGGCCTGCGTGCGGTGTGAGTGTGTGCGCGCGCGCGCGCTCCTCATCTCAATTTAAATTAAGCATTATAGTTACCAAGGCTTTATATATAGCCCATGTGGTAAGTCCCTGTAATTCAATAAGACTAATTTAAGCTTCTGATCTAAATAAAATTTTATTTCATGTAGATATGTACCAAATAGACATGCATTTATGTGGGTTCTTTTCGCCTTTTTACTAGTATATTTTATTCCATACAAGTTGCCATCCTTAATTAGACTCAGCTTTGTCACATTGGTGCATCTTTCATATGAATAAAGCCAAACAAGTAGTTGAAACATGGGACAGGCAATTTCATTGTTCTCCTCGTGAGCAGAGACTGGCATTTCTATATCTTGCAAATGATATTTTGCAAAACAGTAGGCGGAAGGGTTCAGAATTTGTTGGTGAATTCTGGAAGGTTCTTCCAAATGCTATTCGAGATATGGTTGAAAATGGAGATGAGTTTGGAAGAAATGCTGCACTCCGACTGGTAAGTTACTAACCAATAGACGTTTTTCCCTTTTGGCCTTTCCTTAAATTCTGTATGCTATCTCGACCTTCTCTGTTGTTTGCATAAGTCTGCTTCTGCTAAAGCATTAGGAAGC